TGGCGTAAACTCATGCAGGACAATCTAGGAAGAAACTGGCATCAACTTGCAAGAAACCGAACGACATATAAAGAACGAACAGCTGAAGTGCTTTCATCATTGTTATCTTCCCTTTAACTTGGTTGAATAAAAGCTATTGATGATTGATGAATAACAATAATGCATCGAACTCAATTCTTGAAAATCTTGAATAAATATGCATATGAATGATCGGATGGGAATAACTTAAATGGTATTTGATTGCATAAGATTTATTTTCTCAAATGTGTATCTATCCATAAATATGTGGATCACAAAGTTTGCTATTTGCTTATTTTCGATGTTGATAAAATACATTTTCTAGCAGTTTTTTTTATGGACTCGCTTGTAATTGTCAAATACCATCTATAAAAGCCAATTTATGTGTTTAAAGGTAGAATTTTCTTTGTTAACAGATTTATTAGTTTGTACACTGTAGATATAATAGAGTGAGATCAGTTTATTAGACTGATGTATTGTGTTTTTGAGGTTAACAGTGCTGGACTCATGTTTCAGAGTCACATGTCGTTATATATCAAGCATACAAGAGTAGCAATTTAAAGATATTTATTTCGACATTAACGATCACTCATACTTATTATATACCCATGGCTACTAGAAAATTATGTTATTTTCGTTTCGTTGACAATTCTTGTTTTAAATCATCTTTAAAAAAAACAGAAAGTGTATCTAGTAGTATCCGTGTTGGATCATATAGTTTCCTTTATATAATATTGTGTCGACCGATAAGAAGATTATGACATATATGCCCTTTCTTTTGTTTCAATACAGTGAGAGTAGGTAGACATTTTGTATCTAAATAATCTGATGTCACAATTGATAATAGTTGTCTATTCACTCTATCCTCTCTCTTCCTCTCTATTTAACCGTTCTTATCTCCATGTTTCTTCTCTCTTATATAAGTTTGTGTTTCGTTTGAAATAGACACAACTGAAGCAATGGAGTAGTGTAAAAAAACGTTTATATCGAGTATGATGGTAAGATTACTCGTTCATTTTGCCAACAGGCACCTTAAATAAAATAAAAACAAGGATAGGCACGAAAGAAACTAGTCGCCCATCCGTCATTTTCGTGCTATAAATAGTGTCGAAGAGTGCATCTATTTATCATTGGATTTAAAATCATTGTGAGACGAGGGTAGTTGCAGTACGTTATGATCATAGAGTTCTTTTTCTCATTTGATATTTCTATTGGAAAGATGAGCTCATAGCTTAACTTAGTTTAATGAATAAAAAATTAATACTCGTTTTCTTCTATTATTTCAATAGTGCTTGATTAAGTTTTCGGGTTGTTAATCTTTATCATTCATTGATGAGGCAATGTTATCAATTAAGTGATCATCAAAAGTAGAACCTAACTGATGAAATTTGTCGTATAGTTGGTTCATCCAGACTTGATAGTTTATTTCGATATGCGCGTCAATAAAAAAATAAGAAGTTTACATTAAAATATTGTTTTTCATTTCTAGACTATGAATAACGATGATCGACAATTTATTTTCCATATAATTCAACGTTATTTCAATAATGCTCAAACACTCATAATAATAATAATAACGATCCTAACCCTGTTTTCTTCTAAACGAACATTTTTTAGCGTTGCGCACATACTTTTATCTCGGTGTTCGTCAATAAGATATCTATTAGATGCTGTGCTTTGAAAATGAACACATAGATGTATTCATAGTTTTTTTTTGCTTTCTTTGTTCAAGATTTTAAAGAATGAATTTATCGGAAGTATCAAAACAATTACTCGATGCAAAAAGAAAAAGCAATTTGACATTTATGGATATTGGACAAAAGCTAGGACATGATGAAGTATGGGTTGCTGCTTTATTTTATGGACAAGCAAGTTTTCCTGATGAAAAAGAATGTCAAAAACTACTTGATATACTCAACGCAAACTTAACATCTGAACAGATACGCGAATTAACACATCCACCACATAAAGGTGCAACTCTTGAATCATTACCACCAAGAGATCCATTACTTTATCGATTTCATGAAATTCTTCTTCAATACGGTGTACCAATTAAAGAAGTTATACATGAAAAATTCGGAGACGGGATAATGTCAGCTGTTGATTTTACAGTTAAAGTCGACAAAGATGAAACGATGAAAGAAGCGCCACGAGTAAATATTACTATGTCAGGCAAATTTTTACCATATAAACGATGGTGATTTTATTTATTACATATTAACAAATCTGTTTATGTACGCCTTTTTACGTTAAGTATCAACAAAAAAGTATCAAATAAACAAGAAGAAACATGTTGTGATTTCACTATCGTGTATATTAATTAGTGTAGCAAATATTGGAAACTTAACATTTTAATGATAGTTAGTATTTTTTAGTTTTAACCATATTCTTTTCGTATCTTTGACTATGACATTTATCTATTTCTTAAAAAAATTCAAAACAGAGTGTATAATATGAAAATCTAGAAATGTAATATCACAAATTGTGTTTTGAATGTATACTTTTTACTATCTCTAAGTTGAAACAATAAATGTTGATAGATATCTGCAGTATGAAACAAAGATTTTCAGGCGAAAAAGTAAAAGTAACTGAGAAAAGCGAAAGCGGGAGCAACTCTGATTACTGTGTTTAATTGCTTTGTATTTGCAATGAACATGTTTACTTACTAATCAAACAAGGAACGGCAATGGATTAGAAGATAAGATATGCCAAAGCAGAGAATATATAATGCGCCCACTATCGAAATTTAGCCTAGGAGAGGACTTCAACAATCGCTTCTTTGTGCATGAAGTGACATTCTCATCGAAATCGAAATTTTCAACTTCCGGAAAGCTTTTACTTAGTTTATTTTTGAAGAGGCACTCAATTCATACTTCAATTTAGAGAAACAGTTCCTCCTCAAAGATTTCTATCCGTCTTGCCAAGCACAATTGAACTGATGAAAGTTTCTATGAAAAAGAAAATATAGAGAGAGACCGAATGCTATTCTATATCGAACAATGAGTATTGTTCTTCATACTAACTATTCACAGTATCTATCAATAGTTCACAGTAAGATGCAACTAGTTTTGAATATTTACTCTATTTATAAAGCTTTTGAGAGTAGTTCCGTTGAGGCTAAAATGTGGAACTTATATATTTGATTTAGGCTCACTAAGCTGTTGTAAAAACAAGGTTACATGAAAATCTTCCGTAAAAATTCACGTTACTTCTAAAATCTATAATTAAGACATACGTATGTAATGTGTGACAGATGGTCTTGCTAGGGTCTGTAATGGTAGCATACAATCATTGCTAAGGTTTGTAATAGTAAAACGGCAGATTTTGAAGATTCATTACAATTTGAACCCCAATTAATAATGATATCTAATTAGTGAGCATAGATTTTTAATTCTTAAAGGTTTACGTCTGTGATGTGAAGGAGCCTGGGGAACCACCAATACCTTGTGTTGAAATTTACACATTATTTTCTTTGAAAATATATGTAAGTACCACAAAATCTAGAATTCTAGATGTTTCATGCATATATATTATCTCTATGTCACTAAATGCTATTTCATGCCAGTACATACCAATAGATGCAGATAAATAGAAGTTGATACGAATAGATACTAATAAAAATTATACTCGTATCGACACACCCCTCTGTATAGTTACTAAATGTTTAGTACAACGAAAAATCCATTGATCAGACCCAAGAGAGCATTTTATTTATTATTTATCTGTTGAAAACTTTTGTATACATAAATTTAGCTACTCAAAAATATCTTATTCAATCATAGCATCTTTTCCTACAGTGAAACCATGAGGAAATTAAATGCAAATCAAACCATCGTCATCAGATGTAATTATTTTGATTCAAAATATATGCGTTCGATCTAAGAAACTATATGACGGAAATTAATCGTGCTAAGCTAAGTCAGAAGAAAATTGGAAGCCACCAAAGAATGATGAGATGAATATAACAAAAACGCAATAATCACGACTACATAGTATTGGATACTTGTTTCAGTAATGATAAGATGAAACAACGCAATACGTCATAAGTTTAGGCGCAGATTTTTACTCTATCGCTACTTTGCATCGACAGCCAGACTCTTGCATTGAGAGGTTTTCGCAAACATAGTTAGATATTTGAATCATTAAACAGCATCAAATTTAAGCTGGGATCACCGTGAATATGATATCACGTTTTGTTTTAGTTTTAAAAACGCACATCGAAATCGATTTTCTACTATTGATATTATTCGATTGATTAACATGAAATGTAAAGAGACAATTTCAAAGATAATTAGAAATATCCGTTAACAATCATTTTAACTCATGTCGCATGAGTAAAATCAATGTATATATTTAAAAAGAAATTTTAACATAATTCTTCTTTATCGATACTAGTATTCATCAATGAGAGCATCAATGATTGTAAGAAAAATGAATGATCTTGCTCGGAATCTATTATTCGTGATGACTCGTTTCCATGATCAGCTTTTAGAATTCTGAAATGTAAAATTAAGTTGAATTAAGATTCAGTGATGAAGCGAAAACTTACTTTCCAAGTAATGATCGTGAATCACTTTCTGAATTTCTCAATGAGCAATCATTGACCGTATTAGTTTCAGTTGGAATATTAGTATCTGTTATAAAATTAATATTACTAAATGTAGAGGAAACATCTTGTTGCCATAATTGATAATTAGATGCTGTTGGCTCAGTTAAGATCATTTGTTGTTGAATAGGATTAAGATATTTTTGCTTGATATTCGATAGATTTGATCTAATGTAAATAAATAGATATTTAGAGAGATAGAGAGCTTCCAATACGGACTGATGGGAACAAAAATTTCGTAAAATTAGATTTTATTATTTTTTTCGGGTGGCGTTTTTTCTTTCTTATGAATTACTTGTTATAATAAAGGGAATTTTCTAGAAATTATTTTTTTCAAATATTGGAAAGTTCGTAAATTTATTGTACGCTTTTTTTAATTCTCCCAAGATAATCATGGAAAATGGTGATCATCAGTATTATAATTCAACTTGATGAAAAAACTAGTTGTAGAGACGATGTCTATAGATTTCAATTCTTTCACGTTATGATCTATCGATACATTTAATTTTCAACTATGTTTCAATCTATAAATAGGATAGTTTTGTTTTTGTTTAGTCTATGATTCTTTTATAAATTGATTTCATGTAGAAATTAGAGATAAACGCAAAGTAAATTTCAATTTACAGATTATTTTTCTGATATTACTTATATATGGTACATACTTTTTCTGAACTATTCGCTCGTTATTTGTCGATTCAAGTGTTGGAACAGATGATGTAAGAAAAAATGGTGAATTGGCTAAATCAGAAAGTGGAGAATCAAAATCTGGATGAAAAATAAATACATATAAATATTTTCTTTTCGTTTTTTAATATTTAAGATATACCAAATAGAGGATCTTGAGAAAAAAGTATAGCTGCATATGGATCTGACACAATTGTATTTTCTATTGTTGTATCAAACGGAATACGAAATGCACCAGTCGTTGTACGAGATACTGTTCCATATGGACAATTATTAAAATGACCTAGATAGCATCATTATTTTCTTCATTTAATTATTTTAAATTATAAAAAACCGTTACCTCTATGACTTCCTCGAGAACTTTTCGTTGCTGATTGTCTTGAAAGAGCGTGTCGATGAGATGCTATATTCTTATTTAATGTTGCATTACTAGAATCATTCCGAATCATTGTTTGTGTCAATCTTTGACGAGCTGCTTCTTGACGACGACTTTCTTCTTTAGTAAACAATCGTTCTGCAAGTATATATAACGGTAATCCTTCATCTTCATCTTCGTCTTGATCAAAATCTTCCTTTTAAGATAAAAATTTTAATTTATTTATCATTGTAATCAAATCATTTACTTTTCTAGTTTCAAATTGTTTCATTTGATTTGTCGATAAATCGCCATCATCATGTTCTCTTGCAATATGATCAGCTAATGAAACAAAGCGTGATTGATATCCTTCTAATGGATTAATTACGCATATAGGACACATCTAGAAATAACTCAACGTACAAGCAATTTTCACAACAATCAATTTACATACAACAGCTTGATTTGTTTTAGTTTCGGACAACATGATTGAATGTTTTTCTAAACAATGTAATAATAAAGTATTTGCTGTGAAACCAGATAAACCACAATAGGGACATGTTAATGAAACAACGGATCGATAAGATATTAATTCGCCTGCATAGAATAATTCTATGCTCAAAAAAAAAAAGATAAATCATTATGGATAAATGAATAAAAAATTGAAAACAACCATATGCTGTTTTAGTTAATATACATTGCATTGGATGCATTTGAATATGATTCTGACTTTCGGCTGCCATATCATAACATGAACCACAAAGGTCATAATTATCACATTGTAAACATTTATAACGTCGACCAGAAAAATTTGTTTTTAAACATGAATCGCATGAAACACCTTTAAATAATAATTAAAAACAAAATTAAATTAAAAAATTTGTATATTAACATCTTTTTTTTACCAATATGTGACGTCATTCTATATTAGATCTAAAAACAAACAAATACGTTTGACATTTTCTGTGTTTTAGCTATTCAATTATTATTTCTTCTACTGATGTAATTAGCATTAATCAGTACAATCAGATTATTGCAGTTCCGATTAGAACGGTAAGCAACGATTGGAATGCCTACTTTTTGGAGACCAGTTTTGAACATCAGATCTTCGCCTTGAAACTATTTCTACTTCAAGGTACGATTCTCCTCTGGCTCATATCAAGAGTTTTTTTAATTCTATTTTTGGAAAGATAGTTTATGCCTTATGGCGATCTCTACTATATTAGCATCACAAAACTTCTCTAAGGTTATGGTGAACTTTCAACTCTTCTAAAATGAAAATTCAGAAGTAGAATTCCAAAAGATTATTAAAACTATTTGAATTTTTCTATTTTCGATTTCTATGCAGTGTTTGAATTATTCTCCTCTCAAATACGGGATCTATAACATGGGTTTCGACTTTAACAACGATACTATTATCAATTTTGTTGGATTAATTAGAAAAAAATTAATCTGTAAAAAATGTATTGTCTGATTATATGACAGATTATAATTAATGAATAATCGGTTTCATTCGTCGAATCCAACAAATAGCTTGATATGAATCATTTCAGTGCTGAAACAAATGTTCAAATAACGATATCATAGAACATAGATGGAGATAGTTGTTAGCATTGAACAACAGCCGTGTGATATGAGATATCAAATTGAACAATTTCCATAATCTATCATAGTTTAAAGAATACTGACGATTATTACTCCTTATTCATGTAATTCTTCCATAGTGGTTACGAATAAAGTAGGAAATACAAATATCTTTAGTAAAAAATCTAATTTTTGTTCTTCATATCGAAAGTCGAGATAAGATATTCGCGGAAGAAACAGTGTTTAATATCAAAAAGTCTATATGAAAATAATACAAATCGATAGAGATTCCAATCGACTATCAAATACACTTATTATTTTCTTTACGTGTTAATTAGACAGGCAAAGAAAGTCTCTTGCTAGCGATTTTTGGAATTCGATAGTTGCTTATTTTATATATTTTCAGTATTCTTCATTACCTTCTCGAGTTTTATCGCGTATCAAAAATGTTCAATACACGTTCTGTAGTAAAATTGATGTATTATCGTTAACTTTTTCCGGCGGGGTGCTGCCAAATGGTAACATTTTCCCCTAGTGGGTTACGGTAATTTTCAAACAGGCGGCCGGAAAGGGTTAAAATCAAATCTCAAGTTTATTTGAACGCTGCACTATCCACATATTGTGGATCAATAGTATCTCTTCATAATATACGATAGTATTTCCCTATTGAATCTTATAAAGATCAAATGAAAGTAGTGCAAGGAAATCTACCTAAAAATACATAGATTAAGTAGAATTTCGATGATCGACGATAGGAGATACAATGTTTCACATGTTAGACCTACAGATATTGCGCTAAAAAATTCTTTTTAATTAACCCTTTTCAGCCGAATGTTGCCATATAGCAACATTTTCCCCTATAGGAGTACGGCGTTTTTCATATAGCCGGTGGTAAAGGGTTAAGCAACCTTTTGAATTATTTATCGCAATTATCATTACGAAAAAATATCTTACTTAAATCCTAATCTTCAATTACTTTTGTGTCTACTATGTGATCTTAATTATATCCTAAGGTTTATATAGAGGAAAGCTAATCATGGTTTTCTGTTTACGAATTATAGATGTCATATATGGATAATGAAAGATGTTCCTATTTAATTATGCAAAATTGAGCGCAATGATAATACTAGTCTTTGTTGGCATTAAAATCGATGAGTTATTTGTACTGAATATAGACTCAAATATAAATGTAATAAAATTAGAATAGTATTTATTGTTACTGTCAGCCGACTTGAACAAGAAAACAAGAAAACATGTAAATAGAAATAAGTTTTTGACGATAATAAAACAACATGCGAATCAGATATTCATTCATTTGTAGATCAAAATAAATGATTGATTTAAATTTTATTCTTTTTCTTATCGCTATACCAAAAATACATATTCATCAAGAGATAATCTATGTTATTGTGTAGCTTTCTGATTTGTTTTTTGGAAGGCATCGGATATGAACCGTATGACAAGAGAAAGACTTTTTGTTGCAGCATAAGCAGGCCAATAAAAAGCAGTCTCTCCGACCTGATTTATTTTGGAAAGAAATAACCGGGCTTCCGGCAGAAAAAGATCATTATTCTCACTTGATCACATCATAATATAATACCTGTCAATACTGTAAACTTGTGAACGAGTCAATCACTTTGACTGAATTTTTTCTAGTAAATATAAAAATGCCCAGTTCAATAGGTCATGTGAATTTTTCAAAATAATTTCACGTAAATAAGAATAGAATATGTGATCACATTTTTCTGCAAGTATTCCTGATTGAATCAACTGGAATTTTTTTTATTGTTGCGCAAATACAAATTGTCATTCGATGTTCTCAAGATTCGATCGTTTCAATTCACGCTAAACTTTTGTTTTTATTATATTCTTATCGGAAGCAATATATTCTACTTGAATCTGTTAGTACAATGACTGTATCAATGAATGAATTATAACTTTTTGATTTAAAAAAAAAGACACAATTGAACTTTAATCTAAATAATATCTGTAAACAGGAAAATTCCATTAAAGGTCGCCGACTCGATGTCATCAGGCTGTTTATTAATGCAGAATTAACATTTGCAATAAAAATAGAGACATTTTCCGAAACAGAACCAGTTCAATGATAATAAACACAATTCATCTGAATTCGATCGTCTCTGAAATATGGCATAAAACGTATCTTTCTGCAGACGATAGTTGGCCATTCGAAGTATATGTGGTAAAAATATGTTTTACATCGATATCTAGGTTCATCATAAAAGCTATTAGTTGCAATCGATGCGGAATCAAGATGTGAAACAAGATGTAGCTGTTCTTAATAATGAGTAGATTATATTGTTTTATCCATTTTGGACAAGGTTTTTTGTCATTTATTCATTTGATCTTCAAGAAATACCATAGGGAAATATTCCATTCGTTAACACAAGACGTTTTTGACATGTGTTTTGTAATCGTTATGCAACAAACTCTGTCACGGTCTGCAGGGAGGTCAACATTTTTACATATATATTCTAACACTTTTTGATCGTGTTGCACAAAATTTCAATGACTGTTCACAACCAAGTGCATTCAATCATATAAAGTATAAGGCACCTTTACGGACGACAAGAGAACATACGAAAAAGTTCAATTATTTAAGATTATACTCTACGAACACAAAATCGCTAGCAAGCCAGATGTTTGTGCATATATAGATGCTATGGTTAGTCGTCTAGGAATGTATCATTGATAAAATAGTGCCACTTGAAAGAAAAAGCGTATTTTATTTAATCTGTTTCAACAAGAGAGTACATTTGTGATAAGTTGATCTATCAACATTTATAAATTTTTCCGAAAGTGAGTAAGAATGTTAGTACTTATGTGACATGCACTTGCACTGACTCAAAAAGAAACAAGTTTAAAGCAGAAAAATTGAAATTGAGACTCTATGCATTCATCAAATGTGAAGATTACCTTGTCAATGCTCTTCTTAGAGATTAAAATAAATGAGGAAACATCGGATTCACATCCGATTGTTATGTGTACTGCAAAAACTGAGTCAATTTATATATGTTGTAAATAATTCTAAGAAAAAAAAATTCCTGTACCCCCCCCCCCCCCCCCCCCCAGGGGGGGGGGGNAAATTTCATGACAATTGGATGAGGCTTTCAAGAGTTATCGTGTTAACGGCCGGGCACACTGACCAAATTTAGAGTGTACTCACTTTTTTTGAGTACACAAAAACAGTTACATTCTTGCTTCACACTTTTGCCCTGCAGATTGAACTAACGGTTTTCTCTCGTTTGACTTCTGAAATATTTTCTTTTCATAGTGCATCTACTCTGTAAAACTATAATCTTTTCCCCATGTATCAATCTCATAAGTCGGCGATGGAATTAACTGGAGAACTAAAATTTCTTCAACTATACAACGTTCAGAGACCAATAGAAAATTGAAAAAATTCTACAAAAACGGTTCTTGGAAACAAAATTTATTAATCAAAAATAGGTTAAATCTCATTCATGTCAAACATTTACTATTCACTCATGTATTCTCAATAATAAACATATCTGATTAATTCACATTGGTAGACAACCATAATTATATATATTAGCTTTCGTTTTTTGCTGTTGTTTTTGTTACTATCATTAATAAGAAATTAAAATTCTTGCAATTAGATGCACTAGAATGAGATCAATTATTTTTCAACGCAAAATAAAGAAAATGTTTTTTCAGTTACATTGTTTATCTGTCTATTTTATTTTTTATGTATAGTTGTCAAAAATAAGTATATATATATATATATATATATATTCATAAACGCACCATAGAGAAACAACAGAAAACAAACGATAACAACAGAAAAATAGACTGTATTAAAATGGATATTAATATTTAAGACTTTTTTTTTTTATTATTTTAGTACTATTGTTGGACAATAATACACAAAATTAATAAGAATACGTACACTTATACAGATACACACAAATAAATAATACAGAAGTTTATATAAATATATATTTAGTTTTTTTTTTAATCGATCAATCACAACAGAAGATCCGGCAAATTTTATTTTTTTCGGCTAAACTATCTGGACCTATTCGCAGGGCGGAATGATCATATATAATCAGATTTGAAAACCTTGGTTTTGTTCTTTATTTTTGTTCTTCTTGTTGTAATTGTGATTGTTGTTTTGATGGAGTATATAAAGACTTCCATTCATCTAATTCATTATGATAAATAACATCGATGGTTATCGAATTCGGTACAGTTACTTCAGCTGTTGTGACTTGATATGTATTATATTCATCATATAAACGATAATAGTATTCTGTTGCTAATTGTGAAATTAATGTTAATGTTAAATTTCGTTC